AGGGCTCGCGATCGGAGAGGAAGGAAGCTCGGGCCGGCCTCGCGAACGTGAAGGAAGGCTCGGGCCGTGCGGTTTAGGGATTTAGGTTTAAAGGAAATAAAGAATTGTATATATATATATATATATGTATGTATATATATATATATATATATAAAATTTCATGCTATTTATTCATGTGCGGTGCCCTAAGCAAAATAGGTGTTCCCCTAGGTAATTTCGACATTCCGGACGCACCGGCACTGTCTGTTTTGTCGTCAGAGGTCGTTTTGACGAATTCATCGATTTGCGTGCTAATTTTCTCGTGCCGAAAATATGGCAATATGGGTGTCATTTCCTACCAAAATTGGTATCTCGGACGTGTTGGCGCAGTCCATTTTGTCGTCGGAGGTCATCCGGAGAAGGTCGCATTTTCACCCGTCCTTTAGGCTTAATTAAAGTCCGATTTCGTGCAATTCATTGAATTATGTGCATTTTGTGTGTGTATGTGACGAAAAAATCATGACGAATGTTTTCCTAAGGCTTGGAGTCCTATTGGGAACTTTTCCCCTGAGTCTTCACAAAATAGCCCATAACCGCTCTTTCGTAAGACGATGGTCTTGTGCCATAAATGCAGGACATCAAAGAAAAATAGGAAGTGGTTAGAATTTCTAAAAGGGTGAGCCTCAATTCTAGTTTTCTAGGACGGTCAATAGGAACTCCTAGAACTAGATCCTAGGCTCTAAGGAGGAGAAAAGAAGACCTCACAAAAATGAGGTCAACATGCTTGCCTTATGTTGGAATTTAGGAAAGATGAGATTAGTACTGAGTCACACCATCGTTCATAAATATGAAAGTGCCGTAGATTTAGAATAGCGGAATTGTTTGCAATCAATTTTTAAATGGGAGATTGTTATGATGTAGAGTCTGATTGTGGCGATTAATTTGTCACTCAAGCTTTATGGTGAGTTTGCTTGGGGGTACGGGGGGTGTCCTCCTATTTGGGTTTGGGGGGCGTTGCCTGAACATTTTTTTTTTGTACCTAGTGCTCCAACAACTGAGGAGTACTGCCGTGCCCGATACATGCCCTGAGGCAGAGCTCTTGACAGTGCTCCACTTAGTAGGACAGTCGCTGTGGCCGACATAGGCCTAAGAACCTGAGTGTTTGACCATGTTAACACCTCGAGGTCAGCACCCCTTTGCTAGGTGGAGCATAGTTGCTCCCTATCGAGGCTTCTCAAAGCCAGTAACCAAATTTAGTGGATTGAGGCTTTAAGTTTTGGCTTCGCAGCGAGTGCTTGTGTGCGTTGCATCGAATTTTGATTGTTCTCTTGTAAAGAAGAAGAGTGTTTTTGAGCTCCTAAAGGTGTAGGGAGACTTGAGTGTATTGTAATTTGTACAATTCTCCAAATTTTTCATAATGAATTTCTTGATGGGGTGTGACTCCATGATTTTTTTCCCACAGGTTTTTCCATGTTAAATCTTAGTGTTATCTGTGTTTTCCGATTTTGCATGCTTTTGTTCATCATTTTTCTTTGAATCTCTCAAATTTGTTTTCACTAAATCTCTCACAACACATTTGAAGTGAAAGAAGAAGCATATGGAGAAAATATGAGATTAGTGCTATATTATATTTTACTTTTGTGGCACAAGAAGCAAGGAATTTTTAGAAGTGATAATTTGTATGATCATTTCAATTATTTCTGCTAAAGTTTTATGATCTTTAATGTCTAAACTTTTCTGTCACAAATTTTTTTTGGAACATGTTTATTTAACACATAATATTACGTTACATTCTAGTGATTACATGCTAGCTAGTATCTAATATTCCATAGATATCATGATAGCTAATAGAACATTCAGATCTAATTTGATCCAACTACCTTTAACTAATTGAATGAATTGGTTAGTAAAATACTATGGCATTATTTAATATTAAAAGATAAGAGTCAAATTTTATTTTCCTAATAATAAGTTGATTAGTAAAATACTATGGCATTATTTAATAATATTAGATGAGAGTAAAATTTTATTTTCCTAATAATAAGCTATGTTACTTCCAATGTGTGAAAGGAGTGCTTCCTGTTATGATCAAATCAATTAGCATGGACAAATGCATAAAAATTAATGACTTAATATTTTTGACCGAACTAAGAGCTATCAAAGATTCAAACAGTGATATAAATATTATCCAGTGGTGAATGAGTTTTTTGATGTTTTTTCCAAGGAATTTGTTGGTTTGCTATCAAAGAGAGCTGAAGTTTATAATTGATGCTCAATCAGGGATGCACATGTTGTGAATACTCATTGTAGAATGTTTACTAAAGAGTTATAAGAATTGAGAAATTAGCTATCATAGTTAATTGAATAGGTTTGATCTTAGACCCAATAAGTCCTCGTGGAGTGCACAAGTTTGTCTATTAAGAAGTAATATGATTTGACATGGTTGTGCATTGACTCAGAGAATTAAATATGGTGATTATTAAAAATAATTTTCGCCCGATTAGGATTGATGATTTATTTGATTAGGGAGCTTTTATATTTTCAGGAATTGATTTAGAATCTGGCTATTATTAAGTCAAAGTGAAACATAGTCATATAGAGAAGACGAGAATTGTCACCATATATCAATATTATTAAATTTTGGTTATTTCTTTTGGGTTGAAGCATGCTCCAATTTTTACGGATATGATGAGTAAAATTTAAGACCTTTGATCTTGGAAAACTTGTGACAAATCAATAAACTTTAGGAAAAGTTGGCATGAGTTTTTATTTGTGCGAATGCATACCCTTTTAATCCCAATTCAATTGAATCATTGTGCATAACTTTTCAATTAATAGCCAGTATTTGCTTGCAACTCGCTGCAATGAGTTTATTTTATTTATTTATTTTTTTTTCAGGCAGTATGGGTACTCTAACTCACTCCTTTGGGATTATTCACTTTATTTTCAACTAATATATGAATCCGAGGAATGGTCACCACAATTAGATAAAATTTGTGACGGGAATATTGGTGTCATTTTATTGGAACTTTGTTCCCTAGGGAATTCCCTTGTATTGAAAAAAAAAGGAAAAATAAATTCGAATATGTTGTATGATTTTGGACGAGTTTTTTGCTTGGTTTTCGGCTTAAAATTAACCTTCAATCTTTCTCATTTGTACATGGACTACAATAATAGTTTGGTTTCAAAAGATTTTTAACCAAATTCTTTTGGGCTTGAAATTTTCTTATTTATTAAATGCTTTTATTGGGGAAAGCCATTATGAGAAAGTTTTGTGTAAATGAGTGTGAACTGCATGTGGGCGGATGCCATGATCATAGTTTTGTCAAAAGGAAAAAAAAAAAGAAGGTCTGGACTCTTTTTCTTTATTAGTATTTTTGTTATAATCAAGCACTGGGAGATGAAACTAATTTCACTTAGGTGAATTGTTGACGTGTGGGATACATATTGTTGGAGAGTGAATATTCATTTTGACACTCAAGGTTTTTAGGTCTCTTTTGTTTTCTATGCCAGTTTCTGATCTCTTTATTATAGTTATAATGATGGCTTTTTCAGAGTGACTTGCATGGGTTGGCTGCTTTGCAGTGGTCTATTTGTCTGGATTCTCTTAGCAGGTATGTTTTGCTTGTTATTAAATCACTAACTTGTAGTTCTTGCTATTGCATATGCTTTAGAAAGATAGTCCTACTTTCTTTGAAGCTGCCTTTTTCTTCCTTTTGATAGAGCATTGATTTGCCCAAGTCTAGCATCTGGCATGATTGAATGATGCTTCGTCAGTACTTCTAAAAGCTTGACCATCAGCACACTAGTTGAATTTTAAGTTTAAATTATTATTTTTTTCTTGAAGTTATACCATCGATTTTCTTAGTGTGTAGCCATGGCTTGATGCCACTCGAGTCCTTATTTCTCTTTATCTTAATTTTTAATTGCATTCAACTAACTGGTCAACTTTTTGCTAGTTTTCAGTAAGTTTTGTTATGCAGTTGATGACAATTACCTTAGGGTTTGTTTGGGATTACTTTCTACTTTTTATTTTTATTTTTGTTTTTAGTTATTTTTATTTTTATTTTGTTTTTTATTTTCTATTTTTAGAAAATATGTTTGGTACTGTTATGATTTATGTGTTTTTAGAAATAAAAAATATAAAACATGTTTGGTTGTTTTTTTTTAAGAAAAAACTTATATTTTTTATAAAACTGTTGAGTTTACGTGCGTTCGAGTATTAAGCTTTGCCGCACATGACGTATACGTTGCATTCCTTGTTCTACCCAACACAAAGCATTATATGTGGGCGGTGGCTGTTGCTGCGGCTATCGGAGTCCGGCGGCAGGCCGGGGCAGGTGGCAGGCGGCAGGCGGTTGGCGGAGACCAAAGGGGCGGACGTTTGGTGGCGGGAGGCAAGAGGCGAGTGGCGGGGGGGGGCGGCGGGGGGGG